GGATCTCTGTGTTGGCTGTGGAGGGGTCACTGGGTGATGGAAACACATGTTCTGCCATTCTGTACAGAAGAATGTGTTTCAAAATAGGAATGTGCCATTGCATGGCCCCCAAGACAGAGAGGGGAGCATTTGTTTTCAGGTCCCTTCTCATATGACTTGAGAATTAAACCCCATGAGCTGTCATAATGAACTGTCAAATGGGAAGTGAAACTAACCCTGGCATTGGTAATGAAAAGAAAGAACAAATTCATTATTCTTACCTTTCTCCTCCTTCATTCCAAGTAGTTTCACTCCTGGATATAAGAAAAAAATGGATTAGTACAGTAGAATGTACAGTAAAATGGACATATTTATGCAAAGAATTATAGTTATCCTGTTATGTGGAACTTTCTTGATTACTTTGTGCCCTTTCCTGTCTTTTCAAACTCAGCTTAAAATAATAAGTAAACCTCTCTGCAAGATTTCAGTTCTAGCATAAATATTTCTTTGATTTGAACTCAATATGAATAGCAGGATTCATCAGCTCAGGAGATAAACATATCTTGTTTCTGCTGGGAAAAAAAAGAAATCAATCTAGAAGTGCTCAAAATATCTTCAGATGCCTCAATCTTTCCTTGATCTCACATAATTGAAAGAATGAAAAGTTTCTTCCCTTCCTCCCTAGACTCCCACTATTCTCTTTTAGGATGAAATTTTTCAAAGGAAAAAGTGATTGAGCTCAAAGTCAAGTCAGGCAGAACCTATCTGCATATGCTCTTTGGCAGCCTTATCAGAGGAAAATCATCAAACTCAGCCCCAGCACTCCTGGACCTGCTCATCTGAGGTCCCTGCATCGATGCTGGTACTTCTGCTGGGTAATTTGTTTATTTTCTGCTAGGAAACAAAAGCACATTACTCTCAATAAAAAGAACCCAAACCAACTGGTTTTAGGAAAAAGTTCAGTGATCTTCCCAGCTCAGACTGTACATAGACTAACCAGGTTAAAGCTAGGTTAGGACACCACATTCTTCATTAAAACAAGCGTAACCATTGTGGATTGCACTCTGGAACCTTCTGATATAAATATTCCAGTCTCAATATTCCCATGTTAAATAAAACCACTTGTGTGTGTGTGTGTGCATGCTTGTAAACCAACCTCAGTGCAACTTTACCCATCTCAAAGTTCATAGAAGTGCATTAAAGACTGTGGCATGCCTCCTGGCCTCGTGACTCCAGGGACCCTTGAGCTATGGTTCTGTTTGCTGTGCTACAGGCAATTCCATGACATGCTCCTTAAACTGGCAGCAAACAGCACAAATCAAGTGCTGGTGGAGATCCCAAAGAAACATTCCTATGGATCATGATACAAGAAGTAAACCAAGTGCTAACCTGCAAACCCTTTCTATTTAAAATAGTTTTATCCACAACTCATGTTTCCTCAGGACAGATTTATCCAGCATCCACCGTGGAAAAGGAAGATAATGGGATCTGCTGTGGCACTGCATGTGTGTATGCCCACAGCAGGGATCCAGAACCCCTGCTGAGGGGGCAGAGCCAGCACCTCAGAGTGCTCCTCACCCTGTGCACACACCAGGGGCAATGGGTCAGGGAACAGGGAGGGGCCACGTGTCACCTTGTCTCACAGATTCTGAGTTTACTGAGGCTCAGAGAGCTTCTCCAAGACAACTGGTACTTCACTCAAGAAGAGCAGACACATAGATTTCCTTTGTTCACCATGTGACCCGTTCCCACTAACAGAACAGACAAAAAGGTCCTTGGCAGTGCTCCACTTCCACACCAAAAATAACCAGGGGCTGTTACTGGTGTGCCATGCACTAGCCCTTGGCCTCTGCAAACCCCTCCCTACTCAAACACGGGCAAGTCTCAGGAAGGAGTGAATATAAAAATGTGCCACTGTTTTAAAGTTATTCTTTTGTAAAACTAGCAGTGTTTTAGTATTCAAACAAAACTGATCCTTTGTGTCATTACAGATTCTGTCTCAGTCACAGGATCCAGCTGAGTAAGGATTAAATCTCATTGATTAAACTTTGATGTTGAAATGACAACTGTTCCTTTTTTACCCTCCTATCCTAAAAGGTTTATCCTTGTGTTAGAGACAATGGCAACACAAGGGACATCAGAACATTCTTGATACCAGCCAACAAGCCTCGATGCCCGCTCCAGGGCGCAGTACCTCACAGACAGCAGTGCAAATCAATTAGTCTGCCCACGAAAAATGAAACCACACCAGCACTCAGAAAGCACCTGGCTTCTATAACCAAGAAGGGAGAAAAGATCATGTTCATGAAGATCCTTCCCAAAATAACAGCTTTTCAATTTTACTCATAAAATACAAGATGTCTGGAGGGCAGATGAATTAATAAAAACTGGTTTCCTGTCAATTAGGGGAGAACTGGGCAATGCAACTGCTCTCCTCTGCCCCCATGCACACACAGGTAAATTCACCTTGCCCCTTCTCTCCACGTCCCCTCTCAGGTTCCCCAGCCCCCAGGAGAACAGGGCAGAGCTGCAGCTGCTCTGGAGCTGCCCAGGGGTCAGCCAGGGGCTGAGCAGTGCAGAGCTCCCACGTCCCCCCACCCCCAGACTGGGGCACTGTTTGGGGTCTCTGCCAGCCACCGTTCTTCATGAGACACACAGAAACCCAATTATCTCTGAGACTGACACTTCCTTTCTAATTTTGGCTGGGATTGTCCAGCAGGTTGAAAACCTCATTACATGTAGACAGACAGGGTAATCATACAAATTTCATTTCCTCAGGAAACCAGGCTAATGAAAATAATAGTGAAAAATACAGTAGGTGTATGGACAACATGATGTGATGCTCAGTTTCTGTTACGTGTGAAGCTGCTGTGACTGAAGAGTTCAAACAGGAAAAAAGCAGTGGGAAGAGAACAAACGTGTCCTCTCCAGTGCCACTGCACAGATGGAGCAGGCTCAAAAACCACTCGCAGCTCTTCACTTGGGCAACCTTTCAGATTGCTTTTAATCATAGCATACAGTCTGACCTGCCTCAGTCAGCTCCCTGGTGATGTAAAACACCCCACTGCAGGCTGCACGACTGCTAGACCCACCTGCAGCTCAGTTCTCTTTTGTTTAAAATCCCAAGGGAAGGGAGAACAATCTTGATATCACCAAAGACAATGACATTATTCTTTCCTGCTCTTGTTACCAATACTAATCTTTAGTTCCTTTCCATGATGACATATTATTTCATAGTTTATTCTTTCCCTGCTTTGAGTCTTCTAATCTCATATGGTAGCATAAGGGGAAAATGGACAACCCAGCATCACCCAACAGAAGGCAGGCTCTGCAGGAGCCATTAACCAAACATCAGAGAAGGAGACGAGTCACATCCACACAGAGGGTTTATTGGACCTCTTTGATGGAGACCTTGAACACACATATGTATATTTAAAGCACAGACTAGCTGTGTACATGGCAGTACATCAGAGCTGCCTTTTGTCAGAACTGTGCCTGGGCTGAGTGCTGCTGGGCTGGTGACACTGGCCAGGTTTTCAGTGGTGGCAACAGGTGCTCAGATGGAGGTGTCTGAGTGTAGATGTTGGGGCTCTCAACTGTATCACACATTTTATTTTATCAGGAAAGACCTTACAAATTGGGATAAAGGACACAAAATGAAATAAAGATAATAATTTCTGCTCTTGCTTGCCTTTGTTAACCAGTTCCCATCCAGCAGACTCCACCTTTTGCCCCTTACTAGGTACCAGATGGGACTGTCCTGCCTGAAGCCTCTGATTCTGCTGTCTGCAGACATGCCATCCTCCAGAGGCTGGCTCAGGCTGACGTACAGAGTGCTCTCTTACACTCTGTTACTAGCCTGGACATCTGTAGTTTGGCTTTCAACAGCTCCTGGGTTGCCTGGCACATGATACAGGCCTTACCATAAAGACCCTAAAAAAATGGTCCTCCAAGGGGTTGCATTCAGACATCACAGGAGGCTGAGCTAGCAGGTCCTACCTGCTTGGTAGACCAAGAGAACTGCTGGGCACAAAGGTGGCCTCAGTCCCAGGTACCCAAGCCCTCTGCCTGGCTCCAGAGTTTGCCCTGAACTTGTAGTGCTTAGGACACTCTTTTCCCACTTCTAGGCTATGGAAAAATCTGGTAGCAAGAATATCTGCTCCTTAATCATGCCTTGACTTTGTAGATGCCTGAAGCCAAGTCCTCCTGGCATTCATCTGTCAACATACACGTCCTCACTGGACAGTCCAACCAATCCAATTCAAGCTCTTCTGGTTTATCAACTAAACGTTTTTCTCTACATTGGCACATTCACTAAATTCTTTTAGACTCTCACCCTTTTGCTCCTCAGTCTTTGTAAATCTTCCATTTCTGCACTAGGGGCCTCTCAGCAACTGAATTTCAACCTAATGGAAATTTCCAGGATGGGAATACTACATCATTTATAGGTTTTTACACTGAGGAGTGCAATCCTAAGTAACAGTCACATTAATGCCTCATTAGTACAGATGAAAAAATTAATGGATGTTTAATAGGCTACAGTCAAGATATCTTTTCTTCAAAGAATCTTTACAAACACTAGTATTTAAAACCGGATGCAGTTGGGTCTTTGTCATAATTTGATATGGGTAAAAAAGAACAGCTGTACCTTTCATGGGATTTTCCCCCTCCAATTTCAATACCATATTTAAATGTTTACAGCATTTCCAAACATCTTTCACTCACAATTTCACTACATTTGTTCTGAACATAAGGAAATATGTTGGATGTGGTTCCTTGTAGTAAGCACCTTGCATGTAAAGTCACCGAGTTCTGCTGCAAGAGCAGCTGTTCCTCCCTCCTCCCCTTTGAACAGCTTTCATTTAAGACAGATTTGCTTCTCAAAAGCTATTGTAGACAGCCAGCTAAGACTGTAAGTACTGTCAGGCAGGCTAAACACACACAGACACACCATAGTATGGGGGGGAAAGTCAACTTCTAAACTATCTCACTGCTTTCACATTCTGTTCCCAAAAACTTACTGAGGCACCATCACTGATGTCGCCCAGACTCCCAGAATATCCAGGCTGGTGGATGCTCTTAGGCTGGGTTTTGTTCTGGAGTCGGTCCAGGAAGGCATCATTTACCCTTGAAATACAAACAACAAACAAAACTGCTTGAGGTGGCTGAGGATTTCACCGACTTGTGGAAGGGAACGTCCTGAGTGGCTCTCCCTGTACCTGGTCCAATCCCCCCCTTCCTGTGCTCTTCAGGCCTGTGCTGTGTAACTGGAGCCTGGCACGAGAGGCTGGATGTAACCTGCCCCCCCCGGGGCCTTCCCACCCTTGGGGACACAGGGCACACCTTGGCTGCTCTGAGAAATGCACCAGTGTTCTCAGTAGGGAGAGCACCTGCATTCCACCACCACCTTGCCAGGGGGTCAGCTGCTCTGACAACTCCCCTGAGGTGGCCTTTCAGCCTTCAGCACACAAGAAGAATTTCTAAAAGTTCTGATTTCCTAATGCCAGTGAAGAAATCCACTTAAGCTTGTTCCTAACAGAGACAACTTGTGTGGCTGACAACCTCCCCCACCATTCAGCTCCAAAGTCAACTCCAGCACTTTCCTGCACTGCTCTATCAATCTGGAAAGCTTGCACAAAACCAAACACACTTTTCCTCAATATTTTAAATATTTTCAAGCCTTCTGAAAACTGTTTCTTCTTTCCCCCCTGTTAATGCTCAGCCCTGACACACATGCCTAGACATGCCTATTGTTTTAATGCATTACAATGCTGTTGGTAAGAATGATGTAAAATGCAAGATGCTGGATTATTTCTGTCTAGGGACGTGAGATGGGCTGAATCAAAAATCCTTCATTAACTTCTATGGGTAATTATCTCAATGTCTTTGCTAGAGAAAAAAAAGAGAAATGAAAACAGTATGGAGAATGGTTGCCTACAGAAGTATTTTCTTTTTATTTCCCTAATGATATAAAAAAAGAAACAAATGGTGGTTTTATTTTTGAGCCTGAGCATTGTCTCTCTTCACCAGCAGAACACAAAGCTGAGGATAAAGCTGTTCTTCCAGATAATGGGGAGTCAGTCAAGTGGCAGCAGTGGGAGATGAGAGCTGCTGTGTGCAGGGAGGGCAGCAGTGGGCACAGCCTGGGGCACAGAGCAGCTGAGAGGGGCCCTGCTGCACCACAGCTCCTCTGTGTCCACCCCACATCCCCTGCTTAGCTCTGCCTCTTAACCCCAGTGACAGGCAGCCACAAAATGGGGCACGGACAGAGTAGCCCATTCTAAAAGAAAGTAAAAATAAACAAATGGAGGGCTGGATGGGCAGATAAAGAAATGAAATGGTTCCCAGTTGAAACTACCATGCTAGTAGTTACCCATGAAACTCCTTCTGCTTCCTACCCTGTGCTGGAGCCTGTGCTGGAGCCTGTGCTGGCAGAACACAGTGGAGGAGGCTCCCCAGCCACACTGCACTGCAGCCAGCAGTGGCAACCATCCATGGTAGTGGCTCCTTCAAAGACAAAGTTAAAGCAGAGGCAAGGTTGGGGATCCTCACTACAGTTGGATATCTGCAATTCTGAGACCCCTTCCAGACACCAATTTCATTAAAATGTGTTCTGTATTTTTCATCATACCTCCTCTGTTCATTTTGAAGTGCTCTTGTCCTGGCTTCCTCTTCCTGCTTTTGTTTAAATTCCAGTAATTCAGCCTGGGAATGATAAAAGTGGAAAAAGAAAATGAAAACAACAAACTTACTTTTAATTAACATATCCATGCTGCAAACCCTATTAATTCCATATGATGTTAACGAGCTAGAGCCACGTGTCCTTCCCAGAACTTCCCCAAGAACATTTTATTTGTGTGACATCACTGTGTTGCAGACTGAGCTCCTTCTCCTGCTCAGCATTGCACTGGATGAGTTTTGCCTGTGCCCTAAAAAGTGGGAGGTTACAGGATTCATACATCTGCGTTTAAAGGGGTATGCCAGACATCTCTGCTCCCCCTGCTGCCAGCCCACAGGTTGAATCCCCCTGTGGGTCCCAGGGGAAGAGAGCCCCAGTCCTCTCTCAGGAGCACCCACAGGACACGAAGGAGACGTGTCCTTCACCTGCTGCCTCCTTGGGGCTTGGAGGAGATGAGACCAGGGGCGCGTGGTGCAGGGTGTCCCTGCCAGCTGCCTGGGGCTGCCCAGGGGTGCAGGAGGGGCACAGGGTGCCTGTGGTGTGGTGGAGGGGAGTGCAAGCTGCCAGCACTGCAGCAGCCTACCATCCCCACAATAGGTAGTATTAAGGTATATTAACAAATTCCTTTTATTATCAAAGGGAATTCTATTCAGGGGAGTTTGCTTAAGCAGTTGTAGCCAGGACTGAGGAGGAAACACAGCATGTGTGACTAGGACTCTGCTCTGCACATGTGCTGCCCTGTCTGGCTCTTGCTCCCTGCAATGCACCCAAGAACAGAAGATGCAGATTTTTCTGCAAAGAAAATTTGGCTTGCAGGGTGAGGGGGGAGGGATGGGAACAGACCCATCTTTCATATTTTCCATAGCAACTGAGAAGCAGTAGGAACAGGAACTAAAATAAAATGATGCAGTTAGATAAAAGCTTCAATAACTGAATGGAACCACAAAAGTGTTGGGTTTTTTAAAAAAAAAAATCAATTTAAGTGGAACATTAAATAAGAACTATGCAATAAATGTATGAAGAAAATCAATAATTGTGAATGTGTTGTGTATCAATATTTGTCTAGCCCTAAAAGAAGAAACAAGATTAAGAAATAAAAAAGCCAACTTTAATTTTCACTGTTTTAAATAACTATTCAACCCGAAAATTAAACCCCAGTATCTGACTTTCCAATATGCTGAGTCCTCCCTTGGACTAATGTCCTGAAAGATGTTGTGTGTACATGATGTGGTGTTCAAAGCCTACTAAAAATTTCTAAATCAAGTAATACACACTAAAACCTGTTCTGAAAAAAAGGAAAAAAAAGAGAACTGGTAATATCTACCCATTGTATAGCTACACTGTGCTAGGAGAGACACACAGGATGGAATTCACAATTACTTAAATAAAAATCAGTTTGAAGTAGGAAGCACAAGTGAGCCAAAATGTATCTGAGGGACAACTACTGGAGCTTTAAAGCACACTTTAGTTCCAGGAGCACTGTAAGTAGTGCCCTACCCTGCACCACAGGCAGTGGCACTGGGGAGGCAAGGAGCACTTGGAACCACGGCCCGAGCAGCAGGAGCCTCAGAAGCAGCCAACACCTCCTCAGCAACCCCTGGAAATCAGCAAAGAGTCTACAGCCCTACATGAGTCCCTTCAACCGAGCTCACAAATCACAGAATCACAGACTGTCTGGGCTGGAAGGGACCTCCAGAGGTCATCTGGTCCAACCCCCCTGCCCTGAGCAGGGACATCTCCAACTAGGTGAGAGCCTCCCCAAGCCTGACCTTGGATGGCCCTTGCACAAAGCAGGGCTGTGTTAATCCTCACCTCTGGTTACTTTCTCTGTGAAAGACTCAATGTAAACAACACAACAGCAACCAGCCTTACACCCATAAGGACAAAAAAATCTGCAGCTTTCTAATTTTTTCCTCTCTGTAGCTCCTGGAAATAAAGATACAGCTAATGGGAAAGCAATCAAGAGCCTCCCTTTTCCTCACCTTTTGTTTCCAGCATCCTGGTTGCAAGAATACTGTGAAATGAGGACACTTATCACCAACATTTAAGGAAAGATATCTGTGAGAGGGGCTGGGCTGGCTGCTCAGCCCTAATAGAAACTCACTGCATGGAATTTGTTGCACTAAGGTTCTACTGCTGGAAAAGTTCAACATTCATTTGGATGTCAGTAGCAGCAGAGGCACAGGAAGAGGCTCAGTGTTTGCTAACATGTTTCCAAATGACTTGCTAACTGATTTCCAGGTGCTGCACTCCCCATACTTGCACAGTCAGACCTGGAGCCAGGACAGGTAACTTTGCACAGTGCCACTGCCTCGTGTAGAACACCCTGTGGGTATGGTACCAGATCTCTGCCAGAGGCACCACAGTGGCTCAGATGCATTCCTGGCAATGTGTTGCCATGCTTGGAGAATGTGGGAGTTCAGACTTGCAGTTATGGCATGTCTGCTTTCAAAAGAACTCAAAACTCTTTGTTTAGATGGCCACCAAAAGAAGAGAGAAGCACACAGCCTTTATGTGAGTGCTCCTGTGTCCCCTGGGCAAGGCAGGGCACCTGAGCCTCATACTCCAGCAGGGACTATTCACAGATCACCATGAATATCTCAGTAAGGTCACTTCTGCCTGAAGGAGAGGAAATTGGTTTCCTCAGCCTATGAAATCAGGTCCCATGGTCCAAAAATGCTCTGCACAACTGTTCAACTGGAGGGGCAGACAGGAGCCAGCCAAGCAAATGCAAATAACCTGGAACCCAGAACACCAGAACCTAATTGTCCTGTCCCTCCCCAAACTTTACAGCCTGGCTCACCTTTCTCACAGTATTTAAAAACAGTGTCTGAGTCACTTTTGCTAAAGAGAAGCTCTGTGTGTAGGCTAGGAGCAATCAATGTATTCCATTGGTTTCACAGCACGTAGAAATGATAGAGTCTGCAAACTGTTAATGTATAATTACCTTCCTCCGTTGCTCTTGCTTCATTTCCTCTAACCTTCTGTTTTCATCCTCCTGAAGAGCTTGCCTGTAAGCATGGCTTCTTGTCTATCATCCAGCAGGGAAAATGAACATATTGGTGTGGGGAGAGTGGGGGCCCAAATCCAAAATCTTATTGCAGAATAGTTACACAGGTAATTAACACAACAGAAACAGCTGAATGATTCCAGTTACCTAACCCCAGATTCGTCTCTCGAATTTAAACAAGAAGTGCTCTCAGCCCCTCAGCCCCTCAGTTTGGCTGTGTCCCCCTGCACACTGCAGCCAGGCAGCCACAGCAAATGCTGCTCTGTGTCCTGAGCAGCCAGAGAACACAGGACAGGGACAGGGAGATGGGTATTCTGGGAAGGAAAAAAGCACTGAAAATATTACCAAGGTAACAAAGCCTAATGGATGCCTGGTGACAGAAGACAAACAGAACAGTTTAGGGGAAGGCAGGACCTAGAGGGGCCCTGCAAGAAAGCTGGGGAGGGACTTGTTACAAGGTCCTGTAGGGAGAGAGGGGTAACGGCTTCAGACTGGAAGAGGGTGGATTTAGATTAGACACAGGGAAGAAGTTCCTCACTGTGAGGGTGGTGAGGCACTGGAACAGGTTCTCCAGAGAAGCTGTGGAGGCCCCTTCCCTGGAAGTGTTCAAAGGTTCAGTTGGATGGGGCCTTGAGCAGCTTGGTCTAGTGGATTGTGTCCCTGCCCATGGCAGGGGTTTGGAACTCGATGATTTTTAAGGTCCCTTCCAACCCAACCTGTTCTAGGATGACATGTTTGGTGCAGGCAGGGTAACAGCAGCTCAGGGACCAAATCTACTCTCTTATTTGTGGGGCAGCCAAGACAACTGAAAACCTGAACGACACGTCATGAGTAATGCACTGAACTGAGCAGTGGGTTCCCATCACAAGGACTGCTCCTGGTCTGTCACGAGTTGTAGCTGCCAGCAGAGAGCCAGGTGCCATGACAGGATCCTGGGGATCACACCCCCAGGAATCCCCCTGCCAGGCCCCTGCAGGAGCAGGGCCATGGTGCAGCACACGGAGTAACGAGCCAGCACAATTTAACACAAGAAGTGTGCAGGTTTGACTTTAGTGAGGAATTTGTTGCAGGTCTACACAGTGTTCTTGAAACTTGATCTATGCATGCAGAGTGACACCATTAAAACAACAGGCACATAATTTGCTGAAAAGACTGAATAGAGAAAGCAATTATTAATAGCTCAATTTTGAGCTGGGAGGAGTTGTTACACGTGTCCAGGGAGACTCATTCTGGGTCCAACACTATTCATTACTCTCTGTAATGGCTTGGAGAATTGTGTGGAGTGTATGTTAATCAAGTTGGAAGACAATAAAAATCTACACAGGATTGGTTACACTTTGAAAAATGGGATTAAAATTAATTATGAGCTTCATTAAATAAGCAGGCAAAAAAAGTCACCAGTGACAGGGGCACTCCAAAGAAGTTATATTTGTTCATGCACATCGAGTAATATTTGGCACTGATACCTGAAGTAGGTGTGCTAACTTAAAATCACTACCAAAGAAATTATATGAGGGAAAAAATTCAATCAACATTACATTTAAATTTTTGAAATCACACACACATGTCCTCATTTTTGGCATGCATGTCATGCACTTCCTGAGTTTATCACACTTCACTCTCAAACACACTGTTCCTGAATCTTTTAATTACTCTGGACGAAGAACATGTCTGAGATAACATCAGAATTAGAGTTTACCCACAGGTTTGGCATTTTGGTACTATGCCAAGTTTATTTAGATAACAACTCCTTGGTGATGTGCTTCAGATTCCTCACACAGCACAGAGGCCTGTGTGCCTGCAGACCATACCTCATCCAGGCTGGCTGGGGAGACATTCTGCTCACTGCATTGCTGCATTTTGGCACTTGCTTACAGCAAGTGATGAATTGATTCACAAAGCTATAGAAAGGCTGCCATGCAAAAGACATGTATAATGTCAGATAGTACTAAAGAACAGCACAGATAAACTATGCAATTTATCTGCTGGAATACTAGTGAAGCCAAAGTTGAACTATGGTATGGAATTTGTCATAACTTACTAAGCAACCCCTCAAAAACTGGAATGAAAAAGGCACACATTGGTAGGTGAAGCAGAAGACAAAGGCTGAAATGGGACCTGTACACCTGAAGGAATCCAGAGCTCATTCTGGGATCCACCCCCTTCTGTACAGCTGTGAAGACACCACACCAAAATGCTGAAATCCACGTCAGCCCTGGGGCCACGAGCTCACTGGGTTCCACAGCTCAGGGTTCACACCACAAGAAAGGCTGCAGAGCTGAGTGTCTCCTACCAAAGAAATGCCCCCCAGTGCTTGGACTGTCAAGAGGGAGGTGGAAGTTTCAAGGCATCTCTTCCCCCTTCCTCCACCTTGCTTGTCTACCCAGGGCTCCAAAAGAGTGCCTGAAGGCTGCTCTCCTGCAGCCGCTGCTCTGCCCAGCAATGCCAGGCAGGAGCTGGCTACTTCAAGCTCCACAGCTGCCCACACACACTGTGATGTCTTTAGGGTTTTCAGAGACACAAAATGACCCGAGGAATGACAGAGGAAAGGAACCTGTTCTCAGTATCACCTTCCCTTTGCCTGCATAGAAAACCAGGAAGAGGTACTAGAGGCAAGACAGAGCTGTCAGATAATCTATGTGCAGCAATTTCTAAGACAGGAAGGTCTTGCATATTGCCAAGGAAATCTGGAGGTTAATCCTTCCCTCCCTTTATTCAGCTGTTGGTGTCCAAGGTTGTATTCAACAGAGAGCTGCCCAGATTTGATACTTCCAGCTTTCTGCTGACTAAGGACCATTGCTTGTAAGACAATTTCCTTGGCTACCTGCTCTCTGTCTTCCCCCAATTACAAATCTCCCTAAAGGAGAAATACTTCTGTCTCAGGGTTAATATTCCTCACAAGATTTTACATCACTAGGAAAGCTTGGTTTAGACAGGAAGAGCCTAATCATATGTGAAAAGCCTTTTTGAGGCAATTAGAATAATGAAACTTAAGCAATACTTTATCTGTTTCCTAATTACATTGATACTTAGCAGGCTCGTTCAAACTGGGACAACGTCCCCAAGCAGTCTGTGGAATCACTTTTAGGATGCAGTGAGAAATGAGCTTCTCTTCTGACTAGATTTTCAACGCATTAAAGCATCCGCTGACACGACCTAGTTGAGATTTCACAACAGCTTTGCCACCAACGGATGGTACAGAGCACATTTAAAATTCTGATCCGACCTTGGAATAGGAATCTGGGTCTCATTTATCAGGGAGAGAGATCTGTGAGCCACAGAGGCAGTCCCCTGCCAGGCAGGGTTCTGGGCCAGCGGGGAGGAGGCGAAGCAGACAGCCTCACTCACGCAGGAACACTCGTGGTACTCACCAAGGTATGTCCAGCAATTAAGGTTGATTAGGATATTCTAATAACACACTGCTGACAGCACCTGGAAAGCTAAGAGAAAACACAGCACGTGCCACAGTTGTGCTTACCCATGCTGTACACTCTGGACCACGATTCGCAATCTGACGGGAATCACTCTTTGGCAAAGCAGAGTCCAATCTGTTCAATAATTCAGTGGTTTTGCTATGAGGAAATCCAATCCAAATAGAATTGTTAGTGCTTCCATAAAACATAAATACAGCTTTTTATTCCACTCTTGGAATCTAGCCTAGACATTTTATCGTGGGACTGCTGAAAAACATCACAGGTAGAACAAAAGGTTATGGAGACAGTCAAAATGAAATGGGGCTGAGGATACAGAACCTATACTGTGGATAGATATTTGCTGGGAGGAATTTTTAAGCTAATAATTATTGCCATTTGCATATTTGGGGTGTACAGTGGCTGTGCTCTCCTCCCTCATTGTAAAGCTCCTAAGACACAGGCTCACACACCACTGGACTTCACCAGGATGCGAGTGCTGAATTGTTGCAAATCCTTCTATCAGATCTATGAATCTCAGATAATTTAAGAGATTATTTTAAGGAATTCTCCTTCATGATTTATACAATGCAGCCTTACAACTGATTACTTAAGCAGAAAGACCTTGAAGAATTATTTTGTAGCACTGAAAAAAAAGTGCTTGTCTTTAGTTGAAGCAGAATTGCCCAACATTGTAATTTCTTACTCTGGCAAAAGCATTTTATTTTTCCATTTCACTCCTTATAAACCAGATTTTCAAAGCAGCATCACTTTCCTCACACTTTTAATGAAGTACAGTTAAAGAGAGTTACAAGCAGCAAAATAAACAGGTGTTCAGAAGAGGAGTTTCAGGGCTGTGAGCAGGAATCTGTTTCCTAACCTGCAGTCCCAGACGTCCCTACTCAGGTCTTTGCTCCTTCAAAGGAATACAGTCAGAGGAAAGAGGCAATTTTATTTCATATGCAGCTTTTGAAAGCATGAAAGTACAGAAGTGAGAACAGAAAGAGTGCTTCAAGAGGCATCCAACACAAAGATTTACTCTGCTAACAAGGTAACCAGCTAGATCCGTGAGGAAGAAGATGCTGCTACAAAAGAGAGCTATTTAACCTTGGAGGAAAAGCCTCGGCTGCCAAAGAGTGATGGTGACTAACTGCTGATCCAGACTACCTAAGGGGTTTTTATCTCACTCCAGGGTCTGAGATGATTAATAGATGCATTTTTAAGGTGTCCTTATGGTCAGTGGGTACATTGAAGAGAAGGGGGGAAAAAGAACAAGAACCCACAAGTTCTGCTCTGTAACTGTACATGATACAAACCAAAGTTATCACCTCAGGTACAGAGTGCTTGCCCGAGCTGGAGCAGGCCATGCTCTGTGTCCCAGCATCCCCAGTTCACTCCCTTTCCTCCTCTATATGGACAGTTGACATTGACCTCAGCCAACACCCAGCACAGAGAGAACCAAGTGAAACATCAGATTCCCTGATCTACAAATCACCTGTATGTCAAGGTTAAACAAATTAATAGTTGTCTTACTCAAGCATCAAGCACACACTTTTTTTCCATGAAAGGTGAGTGGTGAGATTGCACAGAATCATTTTGGGAACTTGACGTTTTAAACAGATTTTGTGTTTCTCTACCTATGCAAAAACTGCTAAAATAAAAATGTATTTCCATACCAGAAAGACTAAGAACTCCTACAGAAAGTCTGGAATGTATTTGAGGAGGCTGAAGCTCTGCAAAGGGGTTATACCTGAATGTCCTGATTCCCTGTGGATAGCAAAAGAATTACTTTGGGGTATGTGGAAGATCTTATTATCTGCATAAAAATGGGGTGGAGGACTAAGACACTGTATTTCCCAGATCAACACACTGACAGATGGAAAACTGACTCAGTTTTGATATTAGAAAAGATGACCACGAGAGCAGAAGCAAATAAAGTTTCTCAGCAAGACTGTGCACTGCCTTTGACTACAGAAAACACCCTCCTACACCCAATTAAGTAATACATTAATTAAGTGTCCCTACCACAAGAAAAGGACTCTGGTTTCCAAACCTGATGAAAGACAAACTCAGCCAAGGCAATCATATCATACATGTTAATTTCTTGTGTATCAGCTCTGTTGAAACCTGGCAATTCATCTGGCGTTGCCAGACTATCAAAATATTGCCTGAATGGTATTTTTCATAATATTAAACCTATAATCATAACAATCCAGAGCACAGCACTAGCCGTGCTGCAGGGAAAGGGGGAAGCTGGAGAGATGACAGTTCAATTAATGTTCCAGAGAGGAAAACATTATCTCCAGAAGGAAATCAGCACATTGAAGTGGCCACAGGAGTTCCACATTCAGACAGTTGGAGCAACATCTCACTCGCTTGCTGAAACTTCAAGGGCTAATCAGAGATGCTAACAAAATCTATTCCTCTAAATGACTTAATATTAAGGAAAAAAGAGTATGAGCTGAAGAAATTAGTTTGAATACAGCAACATCCTGATACCCTTCAGGAATAGCTAAGCAAAAGGAGATCCAGAGTTTAGACAAACCAAGAAGATGACACCCTCCTAACTGACTTGAGCTCTGCCTACCCCTAAGTGTCAAACTGAATGGAGTAATGCTACTCAGGAGCACTGTCAGGCTGCAGCAATCCTATGAGGGTGTTTTGTCTTCCTCAGCAGCCCTGTTCCCCAGCACTGTTGGTGGGAACAAGGCTTTTGCTCGGTTAATTAAGAAAGGCTACTCCCACACTGGTAATAGCACCAGGTAATACTCTTAGCATGGCAACTAAGCCATCTGTATTGTGGTACCAACTCCTGGAATAGTTCTGACTTCTTCCAATCCCAAAATAACTCCTGGCTGCTGTCCAGGAACGAGCATCAACCACAAGTAACAGCCAACAGACACTTGAAATGAAACTGCCCCATTTGGGGAGGTGATGAAGTTTGCCAGCTCTGGAAGCAGGCAGTCGTAGGCCTATTGACCTGAGAAGTGACAGTGATTGACAGTGCAAATAGAAGTGTGACAGTGCAAATAGAAGTGTGACAGTGTAAATGTATCAGGACAGACGCAGCTGTTGGGGAGTGAAGCAAAACCCTGGGTTCAGGGACTGAAAAGCTGTTAGGAGCTGCCATGGTGGCTCTGCTAGCAGGGGACAGTGGTGACTCCAGCCAGCCCACACTGCAGATCCTTCCCGTGGGCCCTCAGATGTCTGGCTTTACACTTCACAACTATTCTTCAGGCAGAGTCCTCTCTTAAAAGCTGCTACATAAAAGCATCCACTTGAAGCTCAACAAGCACAAGTCAAAGGCAGAAACAGGAACTTGCTCCATGCTCCACTGAGGGTGGTGTAATTTAGGGATTTAGTTGGCACCCTGCTCTCACAAGCTACTTGTAGATCAGCAAAACCACACACATTTCCTATGGCTTGGGGCTAAACGGGTGTGCTGCCCACATTGCCACTAAAGCTCTGACAGGGTCACCAGCCCTGACAACCAGGAGGCAGAAAGCCCCACGGCTGTCTCCAGTGTGCAGCTGTGGAAGATCTGTAGCCCCACAACTGATCTCCTTGCAGGACCTGAGATCTAAATTCCTGCTCAGAATAAGGTCTGTAACTTCCTGTGTTGTTGTTCCTTAACTCCTGTCACATCTGGAAGGCGAGCAGAAGAGCCAGTCTTGGGGAGGACTCATCCTGAGGAGCATGAACAAGGACCTGGAGCTGGGCCCTAGCATCCTCCTCCACCCGAGAGCTGCACAGCACCATTTACTGAGCTTTCCTTTTGGGAATGTATTCCTCCTAGAGCAAAGATGTAAATAAAATAACATTTCTCCTTACACATAAAGTTCTTGGCTTTAACTCTGTTATACAGGCTAGCATTAAAAATGCATCAATTAAAAATTGAAAAGGCTTCTTGTAATCTTCATTACTCCTTCCCAATGGAACCAGTGGCAGTTAATTCGTTAGCTTTAATTGATGGATATTGCAATGCCAGGATACAGAAAAATATATACCAGCTTTTATGCCAGTACTTTTGAAAAAAAGCAGCACAATGCTTTTGCATATGTCATAAATCTATTTATTTCTCTTGACAGCTTTTCAAACATAATGCCCATTCTTATTACTGCTGAAAACAAGCCAGCTCCTGAACTTGTGTTCTCAAGCTGCAAGATCCCCAGCATTACAATTCTCCTCTAAAGAACATTCAGAAGTATGCTGAAAGCCATTCAAAGCCAGTAATAAAAGGCAAAAATAAAGAATCCCAAGCTAGGTAAACCAGTGTAGCTGTTTCAGAGAGGAGACAACGTGAGCTGTCGCTAAGACAACAGAAGCAGCATCTAGAGCTGAATGACATGGACACAGCAGCTTCTAAATTCACTGCCAGCGAGCAATGCTGAAGTGATATTTCACCATTTTCTTACAGTTCAGCTGAAAAGCTAAGAATGATGCCTAATGCATACGTAGTGGTAGTTTCACACATCTGCCCAGGTAGTCACAGTGTTTTTTAAACAATAACAGGGCTCCCTCTCTCAAAAACAAAACCCAAACCCCAAAATTTCATTCCAGATGCATCTTTTTGCAGCAGCAGCGAGCACATCTGTGCTTCTCCCCCTTTCAGCACGTTTACCTGGCTGAGCACACAACTGCCTCAAGTCTGCAGAAACTGAGATTGGTTGCTTCACACTTGAGGGCAGGTCCTGCCCCCAGGGAAAGCTGCCCCCACCCCAGCAAGGCCCACGGGGGGTGCAGTTAACCAAGCCCAGGCTACGAGCAGCCGCTGCTTCCCACAGCTGGGCCATGCCAAGGGGCAATCCCCAAAACATCCTCAAAACATCCCCACCTGTCAGCTGCAAACACCCCTCAGCTCTGCCTGGAGTCTTCTTCTGATGTACTTCAACCCTGACCCAAACCTGCAGCTCAGGGACACTTTTGGGTAAAAGGAAGAGACAAACATCAGCCATGTACAAATCTGTCAGCATGAACTGATGTGCACTTTTTTGGTGTGCATGTGGGTGGGGGAGTCACCTTTTGCTGGAACCTAGAAAGTGAAAAAATACAATGTGAAATGATTAACCCACTAAATTCCTGTATGATTTTGATGGCTCTTTTGCATGGCCCTTTATTGGGAAGAAGGGCCATGCTCTGGGTCCTTGCTTTCCAGCACAGAC